GGGTTGTGGAGGGAAAAGGGGAGCAACAGGCGAGACAGCAGTGCCCAGGGTGCTGGGAGACCATGGCACTACACTATGGGACCTACTATACAGATATAAGGTGAAATAACCAGTACAAAATAGTACCTCCAGGTCATACGAGGGAGTATGTTATCCCACCTGTGCACCTGTATGCTCACCCCTTTTGAAATGTTTCAAAGGTGTTTGAAACACGATGTCTTTCAGCACCCTTGGCCTTTTCACTAATATCAGGTGTCCCATATGACAGTGCCATATAGTGCTGCTGCAACTCTTATTCACTATGGGCAGCAATGTGAGCTGCGCTACTGAAAAATGATGCAGATTCCCTTTCTGCAACAGTTTGACTGCACAGAAATATTTTAGTCTTAGTTTCTTACCTGCATCAAACCAAATCCATTTCCCCTATCACCCCAACCATTTTTTAGGGAAGATCCCACATGCGACTCTCTGGAAATGATGCCAGCAATCACAGCTGGATCCACACACAGACTTTGGCCAGCACTTTAAATGATGTTTTTATATCTGTTCATTCTTCCTAGGTCCTTTTCAGCAATTTTTTCTGAAGCTGCAACTCCTGTAGAAGTAAAGATCCTTATTTAATCCAGGGATATTCAACTGGTGGCTCATGAGCTGCCTCTGGCCCGCAGAAGGGGTTAAAGTGCAGTCCCTGGTCTCCTGCCCAGCTGCCTCTCTCCCCATCACTCCACCAAAATGGCTGAAATTGGTTTACGATAAACCTGGTTGAATGTAGTATCAGACTTAACGGATTTGGGTCAAACCAGTTTATGAAACTTCTGTCCCAGACCCCTTCCTGGTTCAAGTTAAATCAGAGTCCTCCAGCATCCCAGCATTTTGCAGCCCAGGGGTGGGCTGGGCTGTCTGCTTCAGCAGAGCAGGGTTGGCCCTGCCCCTCTGCTCTCTAGCTGGAGCAGTAAGGGTGGGCTGATGTGCAGGGGTGGGGTCAAGCCCAGCTGGAGATACAGCCCAGTCTGCAAGAGGAGAAGGCTGTCCCCCGCAGGCAACCCCAGCTGGTGTCTGGGGTCTGGGGCCAGGGTGGGAGGGTTAAACACTCCTTCCCCTGCTCAAACTTACTACTGGCTACAACTGTGGACTACACATCCCAGAGGCACCTGGAAGCAGGAAGAGGAAGTGATAAGCAGGGATCCTGGTTTTCTTTAATTAAAAATAAAATCCCCAATTTTCAGTTAAAAAAAGTAACCCCAAACCCATATTTTTCTGTGATTTAAATGAAACACCACTAATATATATATCTGGGGTTACTTTTTTTAAAATAAAAAATTGGTCTTTTTTAAATCAGAGAAAACCAGGATCCCTGGTGATGAGCAATCCTGCAGAGTTTTGTTGTTGTAAGTCTGGACTGCAAATCCCAGAGACGTCAGGGGCAGCAGGAAGAGGAAGTGAACACACAGCCAGAGAGCTGTGCTCTAGCACCCCCTGGCTTCTGGTCTGAGCCACACACAAATCCCAGGATGTCATCCTCCCGCTATACTCAGCCTTGGTGAGGCCGCAGCTGGAGTACTGCATCCATTTCTGGGCTCCACAATTTTAAAAGGATGTCAAGAAGCTTGAGAGAGTCCAGAGGAGAGCCACATGCATGATCAGAGGGCAGGAGAACAGGCCATATGATGAGAGGCTGAGCGCCATGGGATTCTTCAGCCTGAAAAAGCGCAGGCTCAGCAGGGACCTGGTGGCTGACTATAAGTACGTAAGGGGTGTGCATCAGGATATGGGGGAATGCCTGTTCACCAGAGCGCCCCAAGGGAAAACAAGGTCAAACAGTCACAAGCTCCTCCAAGACTGTTTCAGGCTGGACATAAGCAAGAACTTCTTTCCTGTTTGAGCCCCCAGACAGACTGCTGCCAGAGGTGGTGCAAGCACCTACTCTGCACTCCTTTAAGAGACATTTGGATGTTTATCTTGCTGGGATCCTTTGACCCCAGCTGACTTCCTGCCCCTTGGGCAGGGGGCTGAACTCGATCTTCCGAGGTCCCTTCCAGCCCTAACGTCTATGCAATCTATGAAATCTATTTCCTGAGTCAAAGCTAAATGTCTGTTCATTTCTGTTTCAATTTAGTCTGTGCATCTTAGACTAACCTGCAAAGACTGAATTGATTCAGCCTTAGGCTTTTTGACTGTCTGTACCTAGCCCTGGTGAACAGATCCATGCCTTGAGAAGCTGACAAGACTGAGACTACCTCTCTGTCTGTCACTTTTACAGCTAAATATACTGGACTTTGCTTTGCTTTGGGCTCATTTAACAGTGAATATTTGTAGTAAATAAAGCCTTTCTGTCATTGATTGAACAAGTTGTCTTGTCAGTCCTTTATACACTAGTCCAGAATCTCATTTCATGACTTAACACTGCTCACACAGTTGGAGTGCTGGGACTCTGGGAAGAGCACCCACAGGGTGTGCAGCCTGGGAGTCTGCAGCTTGTGGAGTGTGCAGCCACAAGTAGGACAGACCAGGTGTGGAAGTAAGTTGAACCAGGCCTCTTACTTGACAAGGAGGAGAGACAAAGAGAGAGAAAGAGAAGAGAAGAAGATGCTGATGCTATGTGTTTCAAAATGTTCTAAGATAAGGAAAAACCTTCATGCCTTGTTTTGTCTGTGTGCAGCTGTTAACCTTCTCCTTTCTGCCAAACTAGAAGCTGATAACTGTTCCCAAAACATAGTGTTTTTTTTAAATAAGTAAACTGCTTACGTGTGACAAACAAATGATCAACATCTTTCTGTTTCTCTCAAGGTTGCTTTGTCTAAACCCTGCATCTTTTCTTGCTGTCTAAAGTATAAATATGCTTGTAAACTTGTAAAGGTCAGAGTTCCTTTAAGAGCTCTCCCTGTGATCACTTGTATAGTTTTAAATAAACCTAGATGGCTCTGCCAATTCTAATACAACCACAACGCAAAGTTTGATTTCTTCCACACAGGTATAATTACTTTAAATCAAAATTTCAAAACCAAATTTTCATTTGCCCAGTATAGATATTGCATGAGTTAGATAAGTCATGCATTTTGATTTACAAATCATGTACACAGTGGCAAGTCAAAATATAAATGTGATTTGAAACAATGTAAAAAGAGGCAGTGAGCCAGAAATCTCCTAGTCTTAATCTTAGCTCTGTTGCTGACTTGCTTTGCAGCCTTGGGGAGGTCACTTCAGATTAATTTTGCAAAAAGCCCCAGTTACAGATAGGTTGGCCTGGGCTTTCTGTTGCTTACAGCAACAGAAAGCCCTCCCCCATTTATGACTTCAATTTACGTTGTTTGTCTGACCACTTGGGGGGAAAAAAGAAACATCTCAGATTGGACACCTACAAAAAGATACAGAAGCTACTTATGCAAAAATGGGCAGTTTCTTTTCTGGATCAAAATCAGCCCTATCATAACTCTTCTGATGTTAGTTGAATTGCATGATTTTGTTTATAGCCCTGTAGGTGGAAATAGAAGAGGATTTTCTATGGCATCCTGAGATGTCTTGAGATCCTTTCAAAGGTGTTGCACAATTGTTAGCACTGTTTGGTATGCAAACATGATTCACAGGAGATTTAAAATGGGAATCCATAGTGTCAAAACCATTCTGACCTGCTGTGGTCATTCTGAATTCTTTGCAAGAAGAATTTTTGTACTATTTTTCTGCAGTCAAAAATGAGTGAAGGCTAGGAGCTGGCATTTCCAAGGGGTGCCTTAAGTCTAACAAGCTTGAGAACCACTGGCTTAAAGGAATGCCATGAGATTTAATCAATTAATGCCTCTTCATTCCTTTGAAGATATCAAGAACTGTGGATTATTGTGATTAACCTGCATGCTGAAATGTACCAGAAAGTAGAATCATACTCACCACAATATGGTAAGCGTTCTGGTCTCGCAGTTTGACAAGATGCCCCAGTGGTATCAACTCTGTTTATATTGCCATAGCATCCAGACTGACTGGAAGTGTCTGAAAAGTTAAAGACATTTTACATTAAGGAGCTTTTGTAAACAGAAGTAAACCTAAGAGAATTCAGAGTCATTAACCAAACTGTGTTCAAGATGGAGTACTCTGTATCCTATGGCCGCGTCCACATGAGCTTGGACATTTGGTTCCCCAGGGACAAGTAGCAGCGTCACAAGGTGTGCTGCACCTTGTGATGCTGCTACTTGTCCCCAGAGAACACTTGTGCCATGCACCCTCTTGCGCATGGCAGGTTACCCCAGAGGAGTAGGGGAGGCTGGGGCCAGCGCTGGGCTGGCCCCAGCAGCCTTTATATGGAGTCCTAGGGGCCTTCTGGGGCTGCAGCAGCGCCGATCCTGCTGCTCGGAGCCTGGCTGGCAGCTGGAGTGTGGCTCCACCTGGCCAGGCTCTGGTTTTGAGTGGTGCATGCTGCCACTGCATGCTCTGCTCCACTTTTTTTTGTGCAGTTGTTTTTGACCCCTGGATATTCTGGAGTCAACCCTCCCCTCCCCATGCTGCTACTTTGCAGTGTGGAGAACAGCTGAATGTGCGATATGTTGCACCTCAGATGTATCTGCGGTGCCATATACCACATGGCCACGCTCATCTAGATGTGGCCTAGAGTCTCAGGGGCAAGAGCTTGCTAGCCAGAAATGGTTTCCTCAATTGAGGCTAAACAGACTTGTCTTCCATTGTGTTCTACAAGGGCCCATAGATGTAAGCATCCTGATCTCCATGACCAAGTGCCAATCACTAGACACTTTCTATCCTTACTGTCTGCAAGTCATGCTTCATTATATTGTGTCATATTGTTCATTTATATTTCATTAGGTGGTGAACTTCCTTCCCCATATACATTTAGGATTCATAGAGAGTGCAGTGGACTAATAAAGTCCACTGCAGGTTAGTACTCATAAAAACAAGTACTGTCCTATGGCAGAGTTTTTTATTCCATAGCAATGCATGTGTAGACACTGACAGAGCTGGCTGGGGTACGAGGGTGCTTCAGTATGGGGGCTACCTGCTGGCTAGCCCCTCACTGAAGCACCTTCGGGCCCGAGCCAGACCCTCCGCAGCACATAGAGCTGGGTCAGAGCAGCTCCGGGCTGGCAGGCTGATCCCCCACAGGCGCCCCTGCCAGCCAGGGTTGCTCTGACTCAGCTCTACATGCTGTGGTCCTGGGCACACAATCAAACACGGTGCCCAGGAGCAATAAACATCAGCATGATATGTGCTGTAGTTTACTGCTTCAAATTAATTGCACATGTAGATACACCCTCTATGTATAAATAGGTATACCAGACACCATAGCAATAGTTCTGCCTCTCTGACAGAGCACACAAAGAAGGTTTATATAAGGTAGAAGAGAAATAAGAGCATATATACAGAGCCAAGTTCTGCTAATTCAACTTTCTTGATATTCTAATTTGTCTTCCTCCCTGTCTTTAAGATAAAAAACTGCAAGAATGTTTGCTTTGCAATGAATAAAATCAATTTTATTCAGGAACATCTGCTGCTACTGCCCTTTCAAAGTGATCAGAACCCTTTAGACTTCACATACTGGGCATGTCTACACATGTATTTACTCCAGCCTACATTTACTGTGCACTAAGCTGACCCTTTCTTGTGGATGATATCACTCTTTTGTAAGGGAGTTAACCCTTACTACTACATCCCCCTGTCTTAAGGCAAAACTTGATACGCAGTTACAAAAGAAACCTAAACAAAGCAGAAAAATTTGTAAGTCTATTTGTTTAGACCCGACTAATTCACAGGTTTAATCTCTTTGATGGAACTGAGGCGCATCCAGACCTATTGTGGTAAACAGATGGAATTTGGTGGAGATGTTCTCGATGCCTACTTTAGAGGAATTCCACAGTTAGAACATTGTGTTGGGAAATCTGAGAGATCTGGGGTCAAACCTGCTCTGGACAAAGGGGGCCTATGACTCAGTTCTTCTGGCTTCCTAGTTAAGTGCTCTAGCTATTCAGCTATGAAAAGATAGGAAGTCAATTCAATCTCATATTTTGTTGCCAGTCTCATATTTAGAGATTAGTCTGTGAGATTACAGAGTTTCTCTGGGTCTGAAGTGCCAAAAATGCCATGTAGACAACCAAGGATGGCTATTTACATGATCAAGAAAGAAAAGAATGCCACATTAATAGTCAGTCTGACCTGCCTGTGCATAGAAGCCCTTTATTTCATGCCTGTTACCCTTGTGGAAGTGTTTGCCATATATTGGTAGTATTTCCATGCACTAATTAGAGGCACATTATCAACTCTTTTTCTTTTCCTTCTACTGTTTTGTTTTTCTATAAAGAAGACTGAAGTAACCAAAGGCACCTCTTTGCTTAGATGCATATTCCAGCTGAGAAGGTAACAGCCCCTAAGGGATATATCACATAGGGGCATTTGCTGTGTTGCATTGCCTACATTTTACAAAGGTGTGGTGGCACATTCTAGAAAACTAGGGGAGGACCAGGGGATTCTTAGGGTAAATCTTTAGTAAATAGATCAAACAATTTTGATATCTATATGGGACATTAGTACAATCTGACATATTGAAAATTGATTATTTAGTCCAATACAGTCTTTGTTTTCTATCTTCTTCCTCGATCAGCATTTTATCATTCACCCTCTGACTTCTTACATTCTCAATAGTATCTTTTGAGGGACTTGTTCAAAGGGATTTTCAAAGTATAGATTAGTAATATGAACTGGTTATCTCTAATCCACGCCTTTGCTGATTCAAATATTGTTTCACACTATTTTACACTAGTAGAAAGATTGTTTCTGCTAGAGTGCAGGGGCATATGATATGGTATCAGAGGGGACAAAACAATGGTGTTTCTGTAAAAAGCTGAGTGCGTGCCTCTCTTTCTCTCTCTCTCTCTCTCTGTTTTGGCTTCTTTAAGATACATAAGGAAGATCTGTAAAAATGTAGCAATTAAGTTCATATCCTTATGTTTGCTTCTTGATGTTGTATAACAAAGGTCTGAAAATGTGTGTGTGAAGGGTATTTATTTATGCTTAATTTTACTGATAGTTTTTAACCATAGAAATGTTAGATTATCTCTCTCTTTTCTGGACAACTTCTTGGTGTTCTCATAATATGTAAAGCTTTCACCATTTATTGAAAATTCAGTTTCTTAACAATATATTTCTTTCTCTAAAATGTTGATTAGTCACTGAAAATAAATAGATGTTAACATAAACCAGCAATTTAACAAATGAGTATAATTCTTCCCTTCTCAGCTTCTCCATTCTCACTGTCATGACTCTTGTCATGTCATAACCATTTCACAGGATTTCCAATTATGAGTGAGCCATTTAGGTTAGATAAAACCTGAATTTCTAATGATAATTATTCTCCTGTTAATAGTGTAATAGGAGACATTTATAATAATTCTGAATTACAATAATGTGGGCAGTAGCTAAATAATTAAAAATAAATGTCAATAATCATGTTAAATGTTGCCAAATGTTAGGATATGTAAGACTTGCTCTTACCAGCTGAAGTGTCAGGATCAGTGACAGACTCTAGATGAAGAGAGGTGCTCAAGCTGACTGTCTCCTTCTATCTAATGATTGCACTGGGGTTTATATCCACAGAGTTTCAATGAAGGTGGAGAACAAACCTCTTAGGGGGTTGGTTGAAGTCAGGTATCAATTCAATGGGCTGGACTTGGCAGTAGTTCAGTTCTTGCACATGTAGTTGAGTTGTAAATTCTTATCAAATCTAATTTTAGTACTTGAGGGGACCATGTTAGTGTATTAAATAGCTAGCACCATGACTGAAAGAGACTTGGGGATCATGACTGACCACAAGATGAACATGAGCCACCAAAGCAATGCTACAGCCAGCAAAGCGAACAAAACTCTGGCTTGCATCTACCGATGCATCTCAAGCAAGACCCAGGAAGTCATCCTCCCACTTTACTCAGCTTTGGTGAGGCTGCAGCTGGAGTACTGCATCCAATTCTGGGCTCCGCAATTCAGAAAGGATGTGGAGAAGCTTGAAAGAGTCCAGAGGAGAGCCACAAGCATGATTAGAGGATAAGAGAGCAGGCCTTATGATGAGAGGCTGAGAGCCATGGGATTCTTCAGCCTGGAAAAGCATAGGCTCAGAGGTGACTTGGTAGCAGCCTATAAGCACATAAAGGGTGTGCATCAGGATCTGGGAAAACGTCTGTTCACCAGGGCATCCCAAGGGAAGAAAAAGTTCAGTGGTCACAAACTCCTGGAAGACAGTTTCAGGCTGGACATAAGGAAAAACTTCTTTACTGTCTGAGTCCTCAGAGCCTGGAATAGATTCCCTACAGAGGTGATGCATGCACTTACACTGGACACTTTCAAGAAACACTTAGATGCCTATCTTGCTGGGATTATTTGACCCCAACTAACTTCCTGCCCCTTGGACAGGGGGCTGGACTTGATGATCTTGCAAGGTTCCTTCCAGCCCTAATGTCTATGAAATCTATGGAGGAAGTTCCTGGTCCTAGGAAATAACCTGAAACTACACCCTGCTGGGGATGGATGGTGTGGTGGGGCTGCCTGTGGCAGGGTGGTCCAGTTGCCGCACCAGTTGCCTCCCTAGTGAAAGGCAAGTATGGGATGCCTTATAGCCTCAGTCCCCACAACCTTTTGGGTGACCCCATAGCAGGGACAGGTGGGGTCCAGGCATGTTGATAGACACTTGAGGAGGCCTAAGTGGGTCATAGGCCAAGTTGGGGGTCCAGGTAGGTCGACAGACTTCTGAGTCCCAGAAGCCCCAGTAAGGGGCTGGAGTAGTGGTCCTAGTAGGGGGACATATAAGGAAACAGCTGAGCAGCAGGGCATGTAGAGGTGGGTCCACATGGGGGCCTGAAGGACTGTGCATAGATGGCATAGAGTAGGGTCTGCGCAGGCAGGCCTGAAGGACTGCACAGGGGCTGCCCTGGTAGTTTGACTGCGCATAGGCCGAGCCCCAATGAGGGGGCAGAGTAGTTACCCCAGCAAGGGGATAGTGATACCCCAGTGAGGGGGGCATGTAGCCCAAGTAAGTCTCCAGATGCCTGGAGACTTGAGCCAGAGGCCAAGTGTGGCCCAGCAATGGGGCCAGGGGAGTTCAGAGTAATTTGGATGCCATCTGAGGCATGGGACATGGTATAAGGGAAGGTTCGGCGTTATGTAGTATGCCCTTGACATCAGGCATTAAACGGGCAGCCTGCCACCTTAGAAACAATTTATCAATGACATCAAAGGCATGGCAGAAGAATCAGGTGGGTGGACTGCCTTAGACAGGTGGACGTTTTTGAAAGGCCCCTGAGACAACCGCCTGTCACATAGTGCTTCTCAACTGGTAAGCACATAGTAGAGATGGTTGGCTGCAAAGATAAAGGCAAATGCTGCCTTGGAGAGGTGCTTCACCTAGAATAATTAGTTCTGCCTCTCAGCAGTGCATCCATGCTACCTCACTGTGCCTCTGCAGCATGTCTGGTAAACAGATCATGAGTGACTAGGGTTGTGCATAGGATTGTGGGAAGATCAGATGAAGGGTAGCAGGTAGGTTCCTGGGGGAGGTTATACTGTGAGAAAAATGGAGGAAGGTGGTCTTGGGACAACAGGTGGCAGTTGAGAGGGGGTGGTACACTGTGGAAGGTTGTGGGAAGGTGAGTGATGAGATCGAACAGGTGGAGAACTACTGTATTAAGGGACAAATCATACAGGGCCATGTTCTGTGTTGCCTTGCTTGTTTATAATGGCGTGGCAGCATATTTTGAGTGTAGCATAATTTTAGGAAGCTGGTGGAAGATTGATGTTCTAAAATAAATTCTTCTTTGGTATAGGATGGAAGTGTTATTAGACTGTTGCCCACCTGATCTTACTGAGAGACAAATAAGCTATATAGCCTTCTGGGGGTCTCGTCACATAGTATTCACTTACACCAGTGCTTCGTAACCAGGGTGCTGGGGCACCCTTGCGTGCCTTGAGATCCTTTCAGGGGTGACATAGGGTGCCACACAGTGTTAGCACTGCTAAGTGTGCAAATGTGATTCACAAGATAAACCCAGAGATTTCAAATAAGAATTCATCATAACATTAAAACCATTCTGCCCTGTTCTTGCCTTTCTGAATTCATTGCAACAGAAAAATTGATCTATTAGTTTGAAAATTCTGAAAATTTAGAACTGTCATTTTCTGAGGGCCTTGAATCCAGTGAAGGGTCCACTGAGTCTAACAACGGCTAAACCTCTCTCTCCGTGGAGGACCCAGCCTCTGGTTGCCAGGTCCGAAAAGGTTGAGAACCACTGACCTACACAATAAACAAACATGAACTCCATCTGAAATGTGGGCTCATCTACCACTTAACTGCAATATGTCAGATGACTACATCTCTTCTATGTGTGCAATAATACAAATGTTTGCTGTACTTTTTTCAGCTTGTATTCCACAGCAGTTCCTTATGGAAGGCTAGTGAATGTTCCTGTCATTGTAGCAGGTCGAGAGGAAGGCTATATCCACAGTACAATCACAGCTGTGACTGAAGACCAGTGATGCTGGACGACCTGAGCTAGTTTTAAGCTGTCTTAAATCCTAGGAATAGCATGTCCTATGTAGCCACATAACTTGGAAATCCATGAAGGTCACCCCGCTGAGTATTCACCCAGCTTTTGGGAGTGATTTTGCAAAGTTTACTTAGTTCTGTGCTCTGACTGAACCTCTACAAATAGCCAAGGCAGTTTACTTTAAAAGCTTTAATATTAATTAATATGTTTTAAAACAGTATAATTTGCCACCTTTTTTCTCCCCAGTTCAGCCAGAGGCTACATTTTGGCTACATGTAATCAGGAATATGTAGAGGGTGATTCTTTTGTAGAGAGCTATAGTATTTGCAGAGTACTTTAAGGAGGATAATTGTTAAGTTATGTCATATTTCTGTTCACACAAAAGCAGAGATGAAGATGGTTTTCCTGAATAGGAAAAGAAAACGCAGGGCAAGAAAATATGGGATTTTGCTTTGCTTTTTTTTTTATGGGTCTGGGGAAAAACTCTTGCAGGACTACCTGGAAACGTCATTTATAAATATGGCATTTATTTGAAAGGCATTTTTTGTGATATCTTTTATCAGATCAGCTGTATAGTTGGGAGAGCTGTTGGACAAGCTTCAGGCATCAAGTGCCAAATGTTCATGTTTAACTTCAGCTGAAAATAGTGAAAGTGGGAGGTGAATGCTAATGTAAATTTCTCAGACAGGATTAGACAAGTGGATTTCAAGAGGCAACAAACAGGTTGAATAATGGTCAGAAATGTTAGCGTTTGGACTTTTTGTATAGATGTATTCATGAAGCCCAGGGAGATCATTTGAGTTTTCAGGAATATCCTATTACATAATGAGCTTTCCAACATGACAGGGTGATTGGTGAGGGGTTATCAACCAGCAAAAACCTAAGTCTTCGCTGTTTATTTACAGCAGAATGTGTTTCATAACTATGAACATCTTTAAAAGGATTTAGATGTAGGAATACTACATTCCCATGCTTTTTAAACACTTGTATCCATATAGTATTTAATTTTTCTTTTGTTTATAATTTCCCCATCTACAGTAGAGCGAAGTATCAGTGAAAACAGTGAGTCCATGGGATTCTTGTTTTAATTTAAAGCTGCAGCTCATACTGCTTGCTGAGAAGTCAGAGCACCTGGCTCTCTTGGCTTTAACAATGGCACATGCAGGTGAGGAGTAGTTCAAAAAGGAGCATATGAGTACAGGAGGGATTGGACTAGAGATTACCCAAAGCCACTGTATACATTTTTCGTTGTCATTTGATACCTTTCAAAGCAGTAAAGTTAAACTGTAATTTAGATTGCAGGTGCTGTAGCAGACTACTGTGCATAGTCATGTTTACATACAGAGTGAGATAGGGGCTAGGAAAAATATTTGTAAGGACATTTTTTCTACAGATATGAACTGGGACACTGAAGTTGAGCAGTGAGACTTTCCAATGTGCCCAGGACTTCAAAAACTTATTTTTCAACTGAAGGTTTTGGGTGCTATGCTCTTTCAAAAGTGACAGAATAAGTTGCAGACAAGGTTCCTTGGGTGAATTTGATATCTTTTATTAGACCAACCCAAATAGTTGGAGAAAAGTTATTAAGCAAGCTTTCGGGTTCAAAAACCCTTCGCCAGGCTAAGGAAGCTTCAGCAGTTGGTGGGTGCTCTTCCTGGATGGAATGAAAAGTAAAGAAGCCAGGGGCTGGGCTGGGCTGGGCTGGGCTGGGCTGGGGAGTCAGTTGCCAGGCAGATTATAATGTATCAAAATGTATCACAGAATAAGTGAGAATTTATCTGTGGCAACTTATCTTTGAATTTAAAAAAAAAGGACTAAATTGTCTTGGTTTAGCTTTACTATGTGGTAATCGTGGGCACATGAAAAGTTACCATACATCAGTTGTTCTGTGGTAAGCACCTACTCCCTGGTGACATTGTTCAAACTCTTAATTTCTTAAGACTCTCCACATCTCTTTTTCTGAGGTCAATTCTGTAGCAACAAACAGAAAACAATATAATGCCTGGTGCAGGAGTATGTATGGTTTACTGGACTCTGATTGGAAAAAGCTACATGGTCTATCATGAATAAAGGGTACTATCTTAGCTTCTAAGCCAAATAGGTTTGTCTACTTCAGCTCCATTTTAAAATTAATTATTAGTGGGTCCTCTGAGGGCAACCAGTAGGGACAAGTTCCCAGTACACAAACCCTTATTAATAACTCAAATATCAAAATATTATTGCAACTCAGGGAAAATGAAAAATAAAATGCAGTTCCTATTACATTAACACTATTCCAGTGACATTAATGGAAAGAAAAACCTGCTGTGGTGGGCAGGCACTCAAGTAATCTTTCTGTCTATCTGTCTTCCTCTTCCCACAAATTGTGGCGATAGGGTACCTTCCCTTTGCATCCTGCTAACCTTGATTCTTGCTTCAGTTGTCAACTATTCATTTCCTTCCCTAATTTTACCCCCTTCCCTAACTTGACTCCCAAATGTGTTGTGCATTTTGTGGTTATTGCTTAACTAGTTGATTTCCCATTATTGCTTAATTAGCTCATTATAACTGACAGTTACAGGTTGAATCTTTAACTTCCATGACCCTCTAGGCCTCACGCCTTAAACAATCCAACTTCACTGCTACTGGTCCTATGTCATGCAGGATTTCTTTTTAAGTTAATGCCTGCTTTTATTTTTATCCTCTACCTCTTAAACTACAGCTAATTATGGGCCATTATTCTCATCTCCTTGACATATATGACTAGAAGAGACTAGAACAAGATGAATAATTATGCCTGATAAGGCATTTTTGCTAGCTGTGGTATACATCAGAACAATGTCTGACAAAAGGGCTTCAAATTTTAGTGGGCCTGACTTCAAGCAGTTTGCAGTTTAGTACAGGTTTAAAAACATCGCCACAAGTCCCCTTTATACTCTTTCCAATAAGAAAGCACCTACCAGCAAAGCTGTGGAGTCAAAGTGCTCCATAGTTAGCACTGTTACATTTGAGGATGGTATCAGTGAAGGATGGATTGCTACCGACTACATTTTTGTTCAACAGAAATCTGAAAACAGGACTGATGATAATGTTAGAAGCTAATATTAGAAGAACAGGGGATTTGTAAGTATAAAGTTGCAGATAAAACTAAAGAAAGACCACTGAATTTCTGCACATTATGTTTTGCATTTTTGAACTAGGAAGTAGTAGTCACAAACTGTAGAGGTGTTACAAGAGGTAGCCTTATGCTTAATTGAATTGATCACACCTCAAGGTAATATACAAAGAAGGAATAGGGCACACCTTCTCTAAAACCCAAAAAAGGAGGGAGAATAGTGGCTGTGAGTCTGTCACTTTGTCCAGTGGTGGAGGGGGTTGGTCAAGGCAGCAACCGCAGCAGAGTGGAACAACGGAGCTGCAGGACTTGGAAGTACAAGATCAAGTGGACTTGGCACAGCAGTGATGATAACTGAGTGCAGCCCTACAGGTCCAAGCATCAGTGCAGGGCTCCTCAAAACTCACTGAACATAAAAAGCTTAGTAATCATGTATATGGGTGATGGGTATTTGTAATTATGTACAGTATTACTTTTTTTTAAATATTAAGTTTTGGCTTGGAAAGGGAGATGTGGTTTTGGAGACTATGGTTAGGGATAGACATTACACATAAACCAGTTTAAGTGATCAGAAACTGGTTTAAACCTGTAATAGAACAGATGTTCAGTGCACATAAACCAGTTTGAGAATGGCTGAAACCGGTTTGAGATAAACCTGATTGAATGTAGTATCAGACTTAACTGATTTGGCTAAAACTGGTTTATTCAATGTCTGTCCCAGACCCCTTTCTGGTTTAAGATAAACCAGACACCCCCAGCATCCCAGCATGCTCTGTGGGCTGGGCAGGGCTCTCTGCTCCACAGCAGGGATGGCCCCTCCTCTCTGCTCCCTCGCTGGAGCTCCAGAGACTGTGTGCTGCTTCCCCCCTCCCCCTCACCATGCCCTGCTGAGCAGGAATTCCCCCCTCCCTTCTGCCTTGCTGAGGAGCTGTCTGTGTATTAGCTAGCAGACCACATGCTGCCTACTGTCCATGCTGAATCAACAGGCAGAATCAATACTTAGCTGGTAATGTCCCTCTGTTGTTTTCTTAACTGGGAGCTAAACAATGTTATCAGTTCCCTGCTGGGCTAATCACAGCCTCCTGCCCAAGCCTGGCTATGCCCCCCTCAACTCCATGCTGTGGTAGGAAAGGAAGGCTGTTCTAGCACCCACCAGCTTCTAACCTGAGCCACTGCAAGCATGTGCCTGCATTTCTGGGATGCCTGTCCAGTTACAAAACTGATTTAACCTAGCCAGGTTAGACTAACCTGCAAAGATTGAATCAATTCAGGCTCAGGCTTTTTGAATGTCTGTCCCTAGCCTATGTCCTTAAGGGCTGAGCTTCACAGACAGTCTTTAGCCAGGGAGCTGTGGAACCTGCTCTGGCTGCTGCTGTGATGCACCATCAGTCATCCTTGAACACCAGTGACTCCATGAATCTGTGTAGGCTCCCATTTCCTCACTTCCTTCTGCCTCAACCATTCTAGGGTATCTGTGGGTGTTTACTTTTCCTCCCCACACCAACATACAGTGGGCATCCAGCTGATTATCTCTCTTTCTCTTTCTGTTGCCACAGAGCAAGCTTTGTGGAGGAAGCACACACAACTCCCAGGACTCTGGCTAAGTTGGTGTTTTATTGACATTGGCTTTGCAATACCCACTCAAACACTTGGATTTATTTCAGAGGCAATGATGAGATGCTGTACATATTTATATATCTCACTATACTATGCTGCAACCTCCCAGACATTTCTGTGATATCCAAGATTGCAGTTTTACGTTATGAAATCAAAACAGAAGTGAAGCAGCATGCATAAAGTATTTCTGCTAAAGCTGTCAACCCAGGCATACTTATATTAGTCTCACAGTTCTAAATATTTTAGAACTAATCTCCAGCCGCTTTTTATCCATGGGATGCAAGGGACACTGGTTCCTTTTGTTTGCTTCCAGCCCCTTTTACACATTACCCATTAGACAGTCCTTAGATAAGAACAGAAAAAAAGGCTGGCATTAGGTTTCCAAACCTTGAACTCCTCCCTCTTGGAGAAGGACCCACCTCATTACACTGTGTGCTTTCTCTTGGTTATTCTCCTTTTGACACCTTGACTCTTGCATGCTTGGCTGCCTAATGACTCAGATTCAGCAGAAGGCTAGAAGATGCCCTTTCCTTGATGTTTTTTTGGTAGCCTGATGGTTACAGTGCTCTTCCAGGAAGTGGATGATTTGGGTTCAAAACTCCTCAGGTCAGAGAGGTCCAGAAGCCAGAATTTCCATGTTTTCACAAATGATCTAAGTCAGAGGCTATTGGGTGGCAGCAACACCCCTGCTTCTGAGCAGAATCCAGTACTATTGATCAGAGTTCAATAAGCCTTTGTCTTCTTTTTGTTTTGTCCCATGCTCAAGTGGTGACTCAAGTGGAGCTTGGCCATCTCCTAGGACCAGTGTGAATCTCTCTAGAGTGGCGAGGGTGTTGGCTGCTGAAATGCATGCTGTGGGGCGCTGTTATGCAGGTGTGTTCCCATAGATGCAGGTGTGTACAGTGATCCTTGCAGTCCTAAATGGCAGCAGGGTAAGGATTTTGCCATGTGATGAGTTTTTCAGGGGTTGGTGACAGGCCAATTTGAATCACACCTTGGAACTTAGTGGCTGTTTAGGCCACTTACCCACCTACTGAGGTAATTTGAATTTGACCCAAAGTCAATAACAGTCAGCCTGACCTGCTGCCATGTACATAAACCACCTGGTGTATGTATGTATCTTATTTTATTACCATTTCCTTGTATTGATTCAAGGACCATTATCAACTCCTACCCTTTTTTCATTCCTTTGGCTACTTTTCACAATGAAAGCTGAATACACCACAGATGCTTCTTTGCTCATATGCACATCACAGCCAAAAATGTAACCGCCAGGGACAGAAAATTAGGGTCATGGTCCATGTTGTATTTCTTGCTCTTTACAATGGTGTGGCAGCCTATTCTGAATGTAACAAGTTGTTACGAAGTTGATTGGGGGGGGCAGGGAGGGGACTGAGTGGTCACGGGAGGATTTTTCCATTGGTGCACATGCACTGGAGTGTCCGTGCACTGAAGACTTTGGCAGTCAGTGATACAGGGGTTGAAGGAGACATGTGAATATGGTTACTACTGACAGCTGCTCAGTTATTTCTTAGTAGACAGGTTTAAGCTTCAGGGAGATTGTAGAGCTGCCTTTTGTGTGGCCTAAATCCTGCTGCAGTGAGCAGCCCAGTGTCAATAGCTTTCACATAGTCTTAGGAAATGTCATTTCGTGGTTGACCTTCAGCATGGGGAGTATGTTACTCAAATTGCCAATTGCTCAAATCACAAGAGAGACTTTATAAAGGGGGATAAGGCAAGGTGCCGCGTTTATTGATCACATGAGTTAGACATAGAGGTTCTGGCACACCATTCATACAAACACACACAAATCATCATACACATCATTACACACAGGCATACACATACACAAAACAACCATTTCATCCACACATATGCAAAATATAGTTACTAGCAATAGTTGCTCAATGTCAGCCCAGGGTGGCCAACTCAGGCTTATTGAGTAGATGATGATGCTTTGAAGATAGCAGATTTGAAGATAACACCTGGAGTGGGATGAACAGATGCATCTGTGCTCTGATGAAACAGCAGTAGAGAAAGGGATTCACCCAGCTTGGTATTTTCACAGTGTTCTTTTATCGGGATTGGCATCTTTTGTTTTAGTGCTTTGGGGTTTTTCCATACCCAGCTTCTGATGCGGTTGTTTTTTTATCTTCAGCTTATCTTAGCCTTGGAGTGTTTTTGCTGCCCACATGGCAGCATTTTTCTTCTGTTATCTCCTTTGTGCCCTCAAGCTTCAAAGGGATTCTTCAGCTGTTTGATAGTTACTGGCTGGTAATTTATACATCTGGCACCTTGTTGCTTACATAAACAGTTAAATCTTCTTATGTCTTTATGCCATTCTCTCACCATTCACCCTTTTACACACACACGTACATAAAAGCTATGCAGAGTTTATTCACTTATGTCAAGCAGAAGGATACAAAATGTAGTTTTCAAATTGCTTACAGGACAAGACTAACTTGGTTATATTTCACTATTATTACACTCTATGTTAACATCAAATACATTAGTTCAGTTCATGCTACAAGTATCTCCAGTGCCTTAGCATGTTTGTGAGCTCCTACGAATTTACTCCAAAACTGGATTACAGATGTGTTTCACAGATATGTGTAAGATAGTCACTACTGTGGCTCATTGCTTTTGGGAGGTTAATTAACCTGAAATACACAGACTATCCAAAAATAATTATGGGCCTGGGAAGCATAACTATTGAGGAAAGGCTGAAAGAACTAGGATTGTCTAATCTGGAGAAGTAGGACTGAGGGAGGATTTGATAACAGTCTTCAAATACCTGAAGGGTAATTACAGAGATGATAGAGATGGGTTTTTCTCTGACTTCAAACTAACAGCTAATTACCTGTCTTTTCTCTGTGGCCATAGAGGACAGGACTAGGAGCAATGGACTGAAGCTGCAGTAGAGGAAATTTAGGTTGGAGACTAGGAAGAACTTTCTAACTATGTGGGTGATCAAGCATTAGAACAGGCTACCTAGAGAAGTTATGGAATCTCCATCTGTAGAAATTTCCAAGGCCAAATTGGGCAGCCATTTGGCTGGGATTGTGTAGTCAGGGATAATTCTACCTTGAGCACGGGGCTGGATTAGGTGACCTCATGTGGTCTTTTGCATCCCAATTTTCCTATGACATATGTATATGATAGAAGCATGTGGTAATAGCTAAGTAGCAAGAGCGGGGACATGCATTACCTGGATACACAATTATCAAAAAATTAATCAGCTACATTAGGCATCTATAT